TGACAATATGCTAAGGGCCAGATATGGAGGTGGTGTACAAACTGGCATATATGAGACTTCTTTATGTTCTTCCATTGTATTAGCCTCCCACCAACTTCCTTACACCTACTCAGTTGACATGTAAGGGGTGCTAGGGTGGTGTAATTTATATGGTAAGCTCCTTTTACCATATAAGCATTAAGAACGTATGATTGAAATGCACCTCACTTGTTTAAACTTACTTCTTTTTTTCTGTCTTACTCTGTATTTGCACTGTGTTCAACACCATAGGCCATAGACCTTATTGGCATGACTGGGCATTTACAGAAATATAAATTTACTTCTTCAACTGATACCGTAATTGTTGTGGAAAGAAGAGTTTCTTTTGGATTTAGCAAAGGAGCAAAAGCTCTCGTGTACCTGGAATACATGTACAAGAAGAGTTCAAGGGAAGAGGGCAAACTGGCATCAGCTCTAGAAATGATGTGGAAAAGTGGATTGAGGAACGAGCAAGGACAGTTGGGATTTAGAGAGCGCTTCAGCCTGTATAATGAATGCCTATATTCATTTAGGTAACTCCAGCGGTAACCAGCGATAAGACACGAGGAAACGGAATGAAGCTGAGTCAGGGGAAGTTCAGACTGGACATTAGGAAAAGATTCTTCACTGAGAGGGTGGTTGATCACTGGAACAGGCTCCCCAGGGAAGTGGTCATGGCACCAAGCCTGTCAGAGTTCAAGGAGCGTCTGGACGACACTCTTAGTCATATGGTTTACTTTTAGGTAGTCCTGCGAGGAGCAGGGAGTTGGACTCGATGATCCTTATGTGTCCCTTCCAACTTGAGATATTCTATGATTCTAACTCTTGCAATTTTTGTCATTGGAAGACCTAATTTTAAATAAGTGTAAGACTGTTATGAACTTGCCATTGAAGAAATGTCTTGGTCCCTAGTGTGCAAACTCATCACCCTTACGAATAGTCTAGGGTTGAGCTGGCACCTGTTTAAATTATTCTAATGCAAAAGAATGATAGCACCAAGAAAACTGCAACATTGCCCTAAGAAAGTTAATCAATAATGCGACTTTTTGTTAACTGCACTGGACAGAATGAGGAAGGTACTATGTAAAAGGAAGAGTTGCATCAAGCTTTCTGAAGGATTACAGGAATATTTGGAGCATTGAACTTGCTTGGAAAAAGACTGCATTTAAAAGAGATGAGCCTGGTGCCTAGTAGTAAGTGTACGGGCTTTACTTATAGCTTCTTAAGTAATCACACTGCTTTCTAGTTCTCAAGAAAAAGGTCTCGGAGAATAGAACAGAATAGAATAGTTCAGTTCGAAGGGACCTACAACTATCATCTAGTCCAAATGCATGACCACTTCAGGGCTGACCAAAAGTTAAAGCATACTATTAAGGGCATTGTCCAAATGCCTCTTAAACACTGACAGGCATGGGGCATCAACCACGTCTTTTTTTTTTTTTTTGCTACAAAAGTACCGTGAAAAATCAGTGGGCTGGTTTTGTGCATATGAAAGTATCTAGAGTAATGGCTGTGTACAAGAGGAGGTGATGCAGATGCTGATACCTTGTTCTCTGGACATGAGCTGAGATCTTTGTATCTCACTTCTCTGCTGGAAGAGTTCCTGACTGTAGCTTTTTGAAAGTGTGCTTTTGCTAAAATACAGAGACTGCCTAAGTGGAATAGGAAGATGCAACAGACTGGGACATGGTGGTTTCAGAGGAGTAACCAAACAAACTGTTGTACAAAGCCACATAAGCTGAGTGGTTGTTTCTCCCCTAATCCCTTCTGAAAACTCACCCAAAATTTCTTGGGCAGTTTAATTTATGTCAGACAAATGTCTTGAATCCATGGCATTAAATCCTATACAGCTTGAAAGAACCTTAGAAAGTCACCGTGTCTGTATACATATCTCTCTCTCTAAAAAAACTACGAAAGCACCAAGTGTTGAAAAGAGTACATGCTGTATAGTATCACTGACAATGAGTTTGCCAAATCAGCTATGGTACTAAGGCCTAGTGCAGCAGAGCTGACTCAGTCAAATACTCTTTCAATGAGAGCTAAACATAGGCAACAAACGGGTAAGAGATCTCAACTTTTTCGTAAATTCTGTGTGCTTTCTTTAATCTAACCTTTCCACTTAATAATTAACTAATAAGGAGTGGTACTCCAACTCCACCACCACTGCCCACCCCAGGCCCTGCAACCTTGAATCTCATTCTCCCAAACAAGAGAAAGGCTTTTTTGTTTTTCCCTTTTGAAAGACTTCAGCATATGGACAATAATTAACTTGTCACTTCAATGTGGAGTAGGAAAAGAAGGATATTTAGTTCTTTATGTATTATTGCCAGGTTGGGGTGGTCAAAAATGACATATTAAGCTAGACCACTTATTCCTCCTAAGGAGCAAGAAATATGCAGTGTTTCATTCTGGGCACAGGGAAACTTTAGTCTTTTCCATGCTACGGAAAGGAAAGTTGTCCAGTATGTGACAGCATCACTGACCTGGAAATTGTGCAAACTGACTTGAGATAGGCTTGGCAATTATTCTTCTGTAACCTACGCTGCTCTGGATTTTCCTCACCTCCTGCCCTGCCACCCCACCTCCTTTGTCATGGAGCTCAGGAGGGGACAAATTCAAGTCCTCCAAACTATGCAGCTCTTCCCCCTTTTAAATGAAGTTAATTCTGCTAAATTAGAAAATAAAAAAAAAAGTCACTTCCTTTGAGAGCCTTTTCCCCCGCCTTGTGTCTTCAGAAGGGACTGAAGTTTCTGAGGTTTTCTTACAATATTGGCAAGGCAACCCTTTTGTGTCGAGAGCAACCGCTGTCGCAAGCCTGTATGGTTTGTTCTGAAGAGCTCTCTGCAGCTGTGCCCACAGTCTCCCACAGAGACACAGCAGTGCAAAATGTGTGCGTTCATGGCCCTTCTAAAGGAAGAAGGGTTGTGTGTGATCTCTACCGGCATGGTTTTTCCTTGACTTCTTTGCCTGTATAAGAGCAGGCTGTCTGCTGTTCTGTATGAAGTGGAGAATAGCTTGCAGAGGGCATGCGCAGGACCCTCTGCAGATACAAAAACTTGGTAACTCATCAGGCCTCTCCCTCTTTGGGTCATTGAGCGTAGATTAATCTTTGCTCCAGGATTCATGTGGCCTTCGGGTGTTCTGAAGCGGCAGCCCCTAAGCACAGAACAGCTTTCACAGCATGTCTGTTTGGTACAGACTTTGTATCTCCCCCAAAAAGAATCAAGTCATGGTTGGAAAAGAAGCTTCTAGTTCCAGGTGGATCATTG